TTCTTCTTCTTCTTCTTCTTCTTCTTCTTCTTCTTCTTCTTCTTCTTCTTCTTCTTCTTCTTCTTCTTCTTCTTCTTCTTCTTCTTCTTCTCATTACTATCATCCCAGCAGACTTGATGATATTCTAAAACAATCTCAACTTCTTGGTAAATCTTCACTTACCATCACAGTTGGGTCCATTCCCATATTGACAATTGCAAGTACAAGTACTAGGGTCCAGAGTTCCAAACCCTACCCCTTCTTTCACACACGTCTTCGTGCATTCTGGAGAAACAACATGTCCTGAGCATTATGGAATGATAAGAATAGAGAATAGTTCCGTGAATGTTCGGCCAACAACATAAAATGTGCTGGTAGTACGTACTTGAACTTATTCGAGGCTTTTAGTTTTCTTTTGGTATATATATCTGTATTTTAATTGCTTTAATTGTCTATTGCGGCAAATCTGACAATGACAATACAATAACACATAGCATAATAGTAAAGAAACGCTTCTGTAATACAGACTATGGTACCCTCAGAAACCCAACCAAACAAAATTCACAATCGTAAGTAAGTTTTCCTAAATATGCTCAACTTGATTTATTTACTCCAGAACTGCTTTCTCAACGTAGATAACATTGTCTATTCACGGATTCAGAGGACTCTTCTGAAAGTGGACAATTAGAGTATTTTCCAGAAAAGTCGATAGTTCTATCATTACGCCCTTGAGACTAGTGACAGTTGACATCATCTTCGTTCTTATCGATTTTAGTCAGCACTTATCATTCCACCAACAATCTTTTTCGATAATGACCAAACAAGAACAACATTTGTACTGTGAATGGGAGTAAGAAAAACCGTGACAGGAAAGATTCAGGAAACAAACAAAAAAGTATATGAAGTCCAAAGAATTTGGAAGAATTGAAATATGTGAATTTTGCGAAGACGTAGCGCCCATAAACCCACTCCGTAGTGCCCCTCTTCTTTTCCTTTAAAAAACAAACAAACCCAAATACGCATTCGGTTAGCCACGAGAGACATCTCGTTCTTTCCATACTTTAATCAATTCGTATCTTTTGACAATTACGGTACTTCACGCTTCATCCCACTATTAAAATCAGAATACGGGAGTGATCACAGAGCACAGGATGTTGGAAATATGCGTAGGCGTTATAAATTACCAATGATAATAATATAATGTTTTCCTTCAGGTTTAGAGACATTTCTTATAAGCTTGTTGTTGGAAACCTCAGCTCATGTATTTGTTTGATGCTTCTGAAAAAATCAACGTGGTGGGAGTAAATGGCGACAAGAAAAATTGTATTCCTGTATTTTTGGTTAGCTGTCTCGCCCACGAGAGGAATTTTCCTTACGTGCATCTCTGGCTCTCATCCTTAGAGGGGAATTGTTGGTGGCCTTGGGGAGTTAAGAGACAAGGCAGATATATATATATATATATAATATATCTGACATGTTGTCTTTTCCTCAAAAACAATACCGAGGCACAGCAGAAAAAAGGCAAATATAAATATTTTTTTTTAGCTTTGAGAAATTTTTTTAAAATCGGAATTTACAAGTGGGAAAAATAGCTCTGCCCTGTATTGAAAACGTCAATAAAAAGAAGATTTCAAAATGACGTTCACCAGCAATTCATAAAAAAATTATCTAGGCCTAAGCCCAAACCGGAACAATACATTGTCAAAATAGAACGACACAGGAGACCAGTTCAGCACTCTGTCGACAACAAACAATAAATAGTTTTCCTCTTTACTTTTCCAACGCTGTTAACTGGAACCTCAAGTACAAAGGAGAAGCAATCCAGATTAGAGATTGTTCAGTCTTTACCTGTTACCCCAAGAGGCATCCATTTAAGCAATATAATAAGTTAAAAGCATTTTAGCATAGTAATTATGGCGTTACGAGACGCACTTGTTGCCTCACAGAGAGTGGAGACCCCACATTGTGTCATAGGTCAAACCCGAGAAAAAGGATAACTTTGACCTATTTCCAGGTTAACACGAACCGCAAAGTCCTTAACATTTTGAACATTTAGACTCTTCCGTTGTGCGTGTGTCTGTGAGGGCGGCAGTTTGTCTATAATTTATTGAAGTAAAATCAAACAGAGGAGAAAAATTGACTTACGGCATTCATTTCTGGAGGCGTCACAAGAAACTGTGGAGGAAAGAAAAATCAGATAAAAACGTGTGGCGTTCTTTGAAGTATATTTTATTCGTGATTCTATGATGCAATAGATTATTATTGTATGCTTAAGTATTGATTTAGCATTCCAGAAATTCGTGACATCTCATACAAGCCTGACGTTACAAGCCGTAAATCAAAGCTGTCTGCCCCTCAAGTGATGTATCAATAGTGGAGGAGGTGGAGGAGGAGGATGATAGAGATGATGATGATAATAAGGAGGAGGAGGATGAACAGGAGAAGGGGGAGGTGGAAGAAGGGTAGGAGAAAGAGGAGGAGGAGAAGGAGGAGGAGAAGGAGGAGGGGGAGAACGCGATGTGGCAAGAAAAATACTGCAACCAGAGGTAAAATGCAAGGAGAAAGAGTAGTTAAAAGGGTCCCAACTCATATCCAGACCAGACAGCGAGATAAAAAAAAGTGTGTACTTGCATGTATATATATATAATATATGTGTGTGTACGTGCGTGTGTGTGTGTGTGTGTGTGTGTGTGTGTGTGTGTGTGTGTGTTTATGTGTATGTGTGTGTGCGTGAGACAGACAGAGAGAGGGAGAGAGGGAGAGAGAGAGA